ACCGCGTTTTCTAAAGGTTTTATTTTTCTAACTCAGCACCCAAAGATCATTTAAAACAAAAAATGCTTTTACCAATTTCAATTTATGAAAAACAACGAGATTGGAATAAGATAAATCAATGCAAAAAAAGAGAATTAATTTAAAGCGGACGCATGACTTTGATCATGCTGCTGCCCTGACCTGCTCCACGTCCTTGTTGAAGCCAACAGGTCTTTATATCTCAGCAAACATTCCTCCCTGAATAGAGATTTCACCCGCTTAATGTGGGAGGACAGGTGGATTCTGGGAAAAAAAAACAAAAAAAAAACAAGTTCAAGGCTTTCCAACGCTTGATGCTTCAGCTCAGTGGAAACATGAAGAAAAAAGATGCAAACTCACTTCTCAAACTTGTGTATTTGTTCGTCATTATAAGCAAGTTCTGGTAAAAAGAATGAAAAAAAAAAAACAGAAGTAAATATCCTGACTTAAATTAACAGCTTTTGCTTTTTAGTGGTTCATTAAAACCTTATCAAAGAGTTAAAAAAATAATTCAAATAAAGTTTGAGTCTCAAGAGTTATTTGTTGGAGCAAAGCTGTGAAACAGTATCTGCTCTGAATCAGTGGAAATCTGCCTCCAACTCTCCTCCAGTCATTACACCTCCACCACCGTGTTTTACTGGAGGTATGTTGCTCCTTGAAGAAACCTTAACAGATTTTTTCCTTCTAGTATGTTATAATAACTTTCTTCTTTAAAAAACGATTTTTTTCTTTGCGAATATGAAATTCGGAATGAATTTTTATCTCCACAGTATTTTTTATTTAGTACGTTATCCATGCAATCTCTTTTGTCCATTCCTGTATTTTTCTACTGTGGAATCACAAACACTGATGTTTGCTGAGGCAATGTATGGAGTAAATTTTGCTCCATTATTGTTTTAAGCAATCCAATAAATCAGGCATCCCCAACCTCGGCCCTCAAGGCCCACTGTCCTGCAGGTTTTAGAGGTTTCCCTGCTTTAGCACAGCTGATTATAATGACTGCAGTAGACCCAAAGCCTGTTAATCAGCTTTCAATTAAAATCAGCTGTGCTGGAGCAAAGAAACCTCTAAAACCTGCAGGTCAGCGGGCCTCGAGGACCGAGGTTGGGGATGCCTGCAATAAATGAAACGGTGAAAAACAGCAATTTTCCTGTTTTCTGAGGGTTTTTTTGTCATAGGGAAGTCATATTTAAATGTCACATCATTGTTGCTTAAAGCTACAGTGTGTAATTTTCAGCGACATCTAACGTCCAGACTGCAGACTGCAGCAACATGAACATCTCCCCCCACCACTTCCCCCCCCCCAACAGTACGGCGAGCGTTACGGGACAAAATGTCTTCCACAACGT